AAACATTCTTAGGACCATAGTAACTTTTGTTTAAAATGATTTTTTTTTTTTTGCAATATCGGAGTTTGAACTCAGGGCCTCATGCTTGCTAGGTGGTACTCTACCCCTTGAGCTCTGCCTCAGGCCTTTTTGCTCTGGTTATTTTGGAGCTAGGGTCTTGATTTTTGCCCATGCTGACCCAGATCATGACCTCCTATTTTAACCATTGCTGGGTTCACTGGGGCTGGCCTGGAACCCAGATGCTCCCCATCACAGCCTCCCTAGTAGCTAGGATTACAGACATGAGCCACCGTGCCTGGCTGGTTAAAGTGATAACTATTGTGCAAATAAGACGGCCAGAGGGCTTGCTGTTCTGTTTGTGCTCTTCTGTGCAGTAATTACTCCCTGTCTAGGTTCTGCCAAAGCAGAGGTCACTGGAGACAGGGAAGAGGAGTTCTGTGCCACTCAGTGCAGTGGTGACTTCCCCTCCCTCTCTTCCTTCCTGCCTCCCTCTGCCTTCTTCCCTCCCTCTCCACACATCCCCTTCCTTCCTTCCTGTACCTCTCTCTTTCCTCTGACTCTCTTACCTTCCCTTTTTCATATTCACCATGATATGATTTCTCCTACCTTCCATCTCTGCAGGTACCCACTTAGTACCGTTATTCAAACTCCTAGGGTGTGCTGTCCGCCGTGTTGTGCAAAGCAAGTCTAAGAATGGCACACAACCCATGCTGACATTAGTGTAACCTTTTTGGTTTCAGCTCCCAAGGGAACCTTGGTACATTTACAAGCCATCTGGCATTTTCTCCAAGGTTAGTTCACTCAATTTCACCATCTACCCAGCAAAATTGCCATCCTTGTAACATGGGTGATTGAATTTAGGATCAGTGGGTTAAATTATCTAACCCAGAGGCACTCAGTGCCTATGAGGAGGAACCAGGAATTTATTCTGATTTTTTTTTACAGTACTGGGATTTGAACTCAGAGCCTCCTGCTTGCTAGATAGGCGCTCTACCACTTGAGCCACACCCCCAGTCCTTTTTGCTATAGTTATTTTTCAGATTGGGGTCTCACATTTTTGCAGGGTCTGGCCTTGGACTGTGAACATCAAGATCTCTGCCTCTGGAGTAGCTGGATTATAGGGATGAGCCACTGCACCTGGCCCCCATTTGTCTAATTTTTCTGACTCCAAGTTCAGAGTTATTTCCACTGTGCCTGCATACTGACCGTGAAGAACCATGCCCTCACTGTCACATGCTCACCTTCTGCACACCGCACTGCACGTGTGCTGTACACGAAAGATGAGGTAGGGTTTTAGTAAAATGATCCAAGTAATTCATTCTTTCAGATACTTGTGCTTGGCAGTTCAGAATTTACACTGCACTTTTCATGTACAGGACACTGTGAACGTTTTACTGCACATGTTTGGATAGCAAGGTAGATAGGTGGGAGCCAGCCTTCAGGCAGATCAGTTGACATCTTGTACTACTCTACGACATTTTTTTGGAGGGTGTTGAACTCAGGACCTGGAGCTTGCTAGGCAAGCTGATTTGAACCATGCTCTCCAGTCAACTTTTTTTTTTTAATGTCACAGTTTTTGAGCTCTTTGTTGAAATATGAGAATCTAGCCTTTTCTTTGGTAGCTTCATAGCCTTTGTCATATGAGTGAAGTAATTTCTTATGCTGTCTTCTGTTCCCACTGAATGACATTAAGGTGGCTACTGTGACAGCACAGAGGATATGGTCACCCAGGTTCACAGTCCTCCAGTGCGTTCAAGTTCTAAGGTCTTCACCCAGAAGTGGAGTGACTGGGGGATGGCATGGCATGCAGTTAATTTTGCACATTGACAAATGGATCTGGAATGACCACACCAGTTCCCATCTCACTAGCAAGGCATTCCATTACTGCTTCTCCATATGCTTCTCTTTTTGGCTGTACTGGGGTTTGAACTCCGGACTTCTTGTTTGCAGTGTAGGCACTCTACCACTTGAGCCACTCCTCCGGAAATCCATTCTCTGCAATGCTAGCTATTTCAGGCTTTTAAACCTTGCTAATCTGACAGACCTAGCAAAAGTGAAGACCAAGCCCGACTTCACTCTGTAGATCTCTAATTTGCTGTAATAATCTATATAATCCAGCATTGTGTCATGTTTGTTGGCTGTCCAGGTTTCTTTTTTTTGTGAATTGCTAGTCACGTACTTTGCCATTTTCTTTGTCCTGTTGGGCTATTTATGGGTCTTTATCTTATTCATTTATAACAGGAATCCATTCTGGACATACATTATTTAATTGTTATTTGACTGTTACAAATACCCGTTCTTTAAGCATTGGTAAGTTCATTGTTTAGCACTCTTTTTCTTTAGAAGAGGCACACCAGGTTAGTTCCAAATGAGAATCCAGAGCAAGATGCACAGGCAGTTCCTGTCATTGGATGAAGCTGTCAATACTTCTGCAGACCTAAGCAAAACGTCCCTACAAAGGTCTTTAAAGTTCTTCCCCAAATTGACAGAGTAGCTCCCATCAGCCTCTTGGGGTTAGACGCTTGCTGACAGATGCTGCAGTATAGACAGGTGGGCAGTACAGGAGAACAGGACTTGACAAACCAGTAGCCAATAGCCAGCGTCTCGTCTTCTCACATAGCTGCAAAACAGCTTGAAAGTGGTTTCATGAAGTGAAATTCATCCATTAGTAATCATTGTTCAGGCATCTCAGATTTAAACACTTAACTTGGATGGTACCGAATCGTTCTATGCCCTCCCCTCTTACACAAGGCATGAATCACTGACGCACTTGGGCTTCAAGTCTTCTCAGGAGCATTTGCTCTTTCGCCTTTGTCCTGACTGTACAATGCTTGGCAGTGCCTGGTTTCGAGCTGAGGGAATACAAATTTCGTGGCAAAAACCTTGCACATCTGTATTTACAAATACAGGCAACTGTAAACTCTGGAGGCAAGGACCTGCACTTTCCATATTCATGGTGGTTCTGTCCTAAGCACTTGACTCAGGTAATAATCTTAGTGGGAATACAGGTATTTACTGAATCCCAGTTCTGAGTGGACATTATTCCCTTGCTTCATGTAGCCAAAGTGGCCAGCATAGAGAGAGCCCTTGCCTTCAGGAAGTTACACGTTAGGGGAAAGAAATTCTTTGTTGACAGGGAAAGAGAGATGGGTGACAATGAAGAAAATGATGCAGTGATTGGGATAGTGAGAGAGAGAGAGAGAGTGAGAGAGAGAGAGAGAGAGAGAGAGAGAGAGAGAGCTTCCTGAGGCAGAGTAGCAGTGATAAATATTTACTAGATAAAGTTTGTAAAACCCCAGTGCCAGGGCTCCAAAAGCAAGCACTTTCCTTTCAAGAGGTAAATTAAACTTCTTTGGATTTTTATTGGAGGCACTTTGTCTGAATCTGGAAAAATGCGATGAAAACTTTGATTTTAGATGAGGCAGAGTTAATGAATTTGTCAAACACGCTCCCTTTTTCTGTGGGGGAAGGGTTCTCACACTGAGAATAGCTGGCTCCATGCGACTTGTCACACAGGGTGTAGATCCAACTCTTCATTGTCCAAGCATTTTGTGTATTTTCCACTTTCTCTCCAGGAGCCCACTTGGCCAGGATGGGCCCTTAGGTCAACGGAATGGTCCTATAAAATGGGGTTAGTGGATCGATTTAACAACAACAAAAAAGACTGAGACACATGTAAAGTGCAGAAGGAGTTCACCTACAGAATCCTCGTCCTCACCAGCACAAATGTCAGACTCAGATTCCCCAGATACCAAGGTAAGGCAGGCTTCCTTCTTGCTTCACTGATTTTATAATTTTTGAAGTTCCTACTAGGTGTTCAATGTTTCTTGCTTCCTCTCCTAACATCTTACTAAAGAGAAAAAAGTTACAATGTTTTCTCTTTTGTTTTCCTTAGCTAAGTGCTTAAATCCCTGATGTACCCTAACTATCTCTGGATGCGTTTCACTGTTTTGGTTATTTTGCTCGGGCGATACAGACTTCAACTTTTTTAATTCCTAGGCGTCTTTTTCAAGATCTCCTTTTGATCCGCCTGGTGGACTCCGTGCAGGCCTTGCAGACGGGCTGGTTTTTGCACAAACTGCAATTTCAACACTCAGAATTTAGGGCTCTGTGAGGAACCCGTTTTTCAAGCCAGGAGAGCAAATGAACATGTTCATGGAAAAACATCCCCACCCTCGGCGAGCGAGCTCTCCTCTAGCCATCCGGGTGTTGGGAACAACACAGAACGTGGCATCTGTCTCCCATACGCAGGATTTTGTCTTAAACTATGGCAACTTCTCTCCTCGCCAGCCCTGTTCTTCTCCAGATTTATCCATCTATAAAAGCTGTACAGCGCCCTTCTTGCCTAGCGATTGCTCTTTTCCTCCTAAGGCCACTAAGGAGCCGGCCGCTGAGGGTCCTTTAGTTTTATTCTCGGCGCGCACAGCCGAGCGCGGCGTTCCAGCGCAAAGCCGGGAAGCTGGCGAGGAGAGGCGGTGTCGGGTTGGCGACCAGCTCCCGCTGGTTGTGACAGGCCCGCGGAGTTAACGCGGGCGCGCAGTCAGGGCCCTCCAAGGTGCGGACCCGAGCGCCCCGCAGCCCTGACCCTCCAGGGTCTGGGCGGCCGCGATCGCGTGAGGGCCCCGCTCTCCCTGCGCCCCTGGGCTGCAGGCAGAGCGGAACCGAGCGGGCTGGAGGAAGCGCCTGGACTCGGGACCCCGGAGGAGCGAGGGGCCGGGGCCGGGGGACTTCCTCCCGCGCTTCCCTCTCCAACGGGAGCGGAAAATGTGATTTGCTGTGCATTCCAGGCGCGGTTCCCTGGGGTGACCTCTCGCAGCCGGCAGGGCGGGGGAGCAGACAAAGAGGCGAGGCGGGCGGAGAGGGGACCCCGCCGGCAAGCAGGGGGGTGCGGGGGCGGGGGCGACAGCGAGTCCAGCGGGCGGCGGCGCCTGGCCAATGGAGAGGCGCCGCCCGGGGCCGTCGGCATTTAAACCGCAGCGAGTGAGATGCCCGACACTCGGTGCGCCCTTCACCGACCGGGCGACCCAGTGCGCAGCAGGAGTGCCCGTCCCAGTCCCGCTCACCCGCGCCCAGCCAGGGCGGCTCCGGCCGCGGCCGCACGCAGCACCACGCGTGGAGAGCTCAGGCCCGGAACACCCACCGCACTGACAGGTGAGCGCAGAAGCCCCGGAGAGTGGTGTGTGTGCGTGTGTGTGCATGTGCATCTATGTGTGCGGGATCCCCAAGTCCAGCTTAGTTCAGACGCTCGGCAGCATTCGATGCGCCAAGGTTCTGCGATTCCCAGGGAGGAACCATCGCGGCGTTCCTCTGGCCCAGGTGGCAGATGCCAAGACCTCCCTGCGCAGGGGAACGGAGGGAACGAAGGTGTCAGGAGCGGGAGGGGACCCTGCGCCCCACTTCCTTCTTCTGGGACCCCACTAGCAGTCTCCAGGTGCCTGCAGCTGCAGCGCCTGCCGAGCTCGCCCTTACCGCGGGGACAGCGGGGTAGGGCACAGCAGACGGCTCGGCGAGCTTCTCCGAGAGGGACCCAGGTGGGTGTGAGGCATAGAGCCAGGGCTGGGGTGTCCTAAGGGCTCGTCGAAGCCCGGTGAGTGATTCTGCCACGGGATGGGGATTCGGAGAATCCGCGACAGGCGTTTTTGCCAATCTGGTTTCAGCCACCGCAGAAACCGCAGTGTCCAGTACCCCGAAGCTGCAGTGCGCTTAGGCGCGGGGTTTCGCGATCCCGCGGTGCGCGCAGGGCGCACTGCACATGCCGCACACACTCGCATGCGGTTGCACTAGCGAGCGCTCAGGTTTCCCCTTCGAGCCTCCCGGGTCCCACGCACCCCTGATCTGAGCAGCAGACTGGCAGGCGCCGGACTGCGACCACTGGTCACTTCCCTCTCCTCGGGTGCTCCTTAATCTGTACCCAGAGGCGTCAGCCTCGCCTAGCCAGCGACCCAAGACGTGCGCCTGGCTGCGGGCGCTGGTCCCCAATGCGCCGGTCGCCCCTAGTTGTCCTTCCCTGCCTGGCTCATTCCAGTGACTCCCCTACGGCTTGTGGAGCAAGGCAAGGTTGAGGGGAAGTCGATGGGGCTGTCACCTTTTTTGGTCGTAGTTATTTGTAGACTTCAGGTTTGGAAGGAACAGACACCGCTCTCTCTTTCGGCATTGCCTTCAGAACCCAGTCCCGCCCGGTGGACACCCCAGCTTGGCGTTTTCCTGTGCTCCACTTTGGCTACCGTTCTGGACAAACCGGGGAAGATTGGGACGACCAAGCTTTGCTATGAACACCTTCCCGCGCGGCCCAGGAGGGCTCACAGGCTATCGGCTGCCTTCTCCTCCTAGACCGACTCTTTTAGGCAGAAATATAGCTTCGGAGCTAGGGGTTAAAATTTCCCCCTAAATGATCCGAGGGCAGAGGCGACCGTCAGTAGGTAATTGGATCTCCTGATGGAAAGACTAAAACCGCGTGGTGCGCGTCTGTTTATGTTCCCCTGAGATGGTGCCAGGACACGAACTGACTTAAAACAATCTATTGTGTTCAGTGGGTCACCAGGGTTTTAAGCCATCCAGGGACCCCAGGGTAGTGGTTTCCTTCTTACTGCGCTTACAAGTTAAATAAATAGCACAGAAGAGGTTAAGATAACTCCATTCCAGGGCAAGGGTTTGCTTTCACCCTAAGGCTGCCCTTCTCCCCCTCACCCCTTTTTTTCCTTTTTTTGGGGGGCGGGGAGAAGGCAGGGAGCACGGGGGACTTGAGGGTATGGACTTTCAAAGCAAAGAGGAAAAGGATCTTAAGAAAACTAGATTTTCTTCCCACCGCCCCTCCCCAGGTCTACAAAAAGTGGGTGATTTGATTACTATCACGGGTTAAATTGCTCTGTTGGAATTGTTAGTATTTACTAATTATTTAAGGGCTTTTTAGAACTGTAGTGGCTGTGATGAGTGTGTGTGTGTGTGTGTGTGTGTGTGTGTGTTTAACCCCCCCAGGTCACTGTAAGAATTAGAGACTTCTGTAAACTTTGTAATTTCACAGCTTTCCTATTTTCTTAAAAGTTAACGTTGAGTGAAAGTTTTGGTACCTCACGATCTGTAAGAAATCCTGGTTGGCTAATGCAGGCTTCTTGTGAGTGCATACAAGGGAAGAAAGGAAACATATTAGCCCCCATCTTTGACTACCACCTGCCGCCTTTTCTTCTCGTTGAAGCTGTGGGTGACCACAGTCTTTAATGATCAAGTATTAAATGTGATAAATACAAAGAAACTTATGCCACAGACGGTTTCCCCAAGAAACTCTTGTTGACAGCAAAGATGTGAAGTACATTCTAGAAGGAAGAGTGAAAGATGCACAGGAAAACTTAAACCTTTTCTGTAAAGGGAAGGAGAGGTCACTGTGCCCTCTGACTGATGGGCACTCAGAGGCCCAGGTTTTACATCTGCAAAGAATTTTCTTTCGTTCTAACATATGCTCTTAGAACCAACTGTGGAGTACACAGGAAGGATTCCTGGCACAGAGAAGTCTTTTCCTTCACATGTAAACATGAAGATACAAAATAGATAATCATTAGATTGACAATACTCTTCAAATTTTATGACATTAGAAAATAAATCCACAGGTCCCTTGTCAAATACAGTCCTGGGTGTCATAGGAACAGTGGGTTGGGGTACAGAAAGAACAGGGCTCAGCCCTGGCTTTCCCACTAATAAGCTATATGACCTTAGATAGATTCCTGATTGGTAAAAGGAAGACATTGTCATCTACTTCATATTTTGTTGTGGAAAATAAATGATAGAATTCAGATAGAATTTACTATGCCTGGCATAGTAAAGGCTCAGAAATAAATAAAAGGTCATTTTTGTTATTAGTGGCAGTGTTGGGAAAAGTAGTGATTCAATACAGAACCAGGACATATCACAGGGTGGTTCTGAATTTAATCCTAAATCCTACTTTAGATTAACATGTCTTTCTCTACAACACACAGTCTCTAACTTGGCTGTCACTCAATAGTGCTGCTCAGTGAACACTTAATATTTATATCTTCTGACTCATTTCCTGTTGACCTCAAGAACTGCATCTGATCATTAACTCCACTAAAAAAAATCTTCCGATGAACATAGAACACTAGACCTTTCACTACCAGGTGGTCTCCTCCCTGCCCTGTGCAGCCTGATTTCTCTGAAATGGTCTTCAGAACAGGGAAGTTATTGGTAAGGGACTTGTAACGCGTAGGGAATGAGGTTTGATCATCTACTGACGTGCCAAACATTCTTATCTTCTTATTGCATCTTGTCTGAAAAAAAATCAACCTTTTCTTACTAAGGAATGTTGTCCTTAAGTTCTAAAAGTTGATTATTATTTTAATTAAAGGTCAAGTTAAAAATAACCTTTAATCTTTTCAAAATTTAGTTCTGAGAAAAAGGGATGGATTATTTTCGGGATAACCAGCCTGAGGAGGAGTGAGGGCCTACACATAGAATATGTACAGTCAATTCCATCATGTTTTATGCTGGAAGAATGTTTTGATGTCATGCCTGCTGAATGTCTTTCTAAACTTTGATTCAGACATCTGGCTTTCACTGCAATTCTCACTCAAAACACAACTTAGCTGATTGTATGAGCAGGTTGCTTGGCTGATTGAGAAATATAGCAAGAGGAGTGTTGAAAGCAGCTGGTCCAAGCTTTCCCAAAGACATCAAGAACATGGAATCACGTCACACATACCATATGTACTTCTGAGTATCCAAGGTCTAAAGAAAGTATGTTCTCAGAACCCTCGTGGAGAATGGGTTGAACTGTCTTGACCTGCACAGGTCAAGGTAGAGGTGGGTAGTAAGGCTTACCTTACTTGCTGGTGTTTACTCTTGGCCACTAGGAGAAACTGGAAGGAAAGCATGAGATAGAGAAAACCTGCTTTGAGCCTTTGTCTTCTGACCTAAGAGAGTGAGAGAGGAGAATAGAAGAAGAAGAAAAAGAGAGGTGAGGGTGGGGTGAAGCTTGCTGGTTGCAGAGAAAGCTCCCCATGAAAATGTAACCATATTACTTGGAGTAGAAATACATTAAGGGGACATTAAGGTGGGCTTGGAAAGAAGAATGACCTTGCTTGTCGAGGAGGCCTGAGGGTGTCTTGATGCACTCGGAGTTCTTAGGATGCAACTAAATTTAGTGATGTGAACAGGCTACTTTAGAAATGGAAATTTCCATAAAGTGCTTGCAGCTAATGGCTGGACTAGGTAGTAGTCTCAGGAACCTCAGTGTGGGTCAGCTTTTGGAGTGAATTTTTGACTATGTGGCACCCTGCTAGATGTTGATGTGGAAGAGAACTGTCTTCTTCATTTCCTGCACAGTTGTGATTTTTACAAAGTGCAAATGATTTCGTGGGGATACAATTGTGATTTCGAAAGCAAAACAGCCCTGTTTCCTTCATTGAGCGATCAATGAGTAGGAAGGGCTTAGGTAATGGACCACAGTCACAGTCACCTGACAGAGCCCTGGTTCTCATCCCCTCAGTCCTCCTCAGGCTGGTCATCCCGAAGCACACTGATGTTACTTCACCTTAAGCCCTGCTGTTCTGTAGGAAGCTAAACTCTTTGTTGGCTGATGCTCTTGAAGTTGGTTTTTACTTTTCTCTGCTTAAGAATTCAAAAGCTTCACAGTTGGACTAAAGATTTTTAAAGAATAGGCTTTTTAAAAATGAAAAACAATTTTATTTTCCAATGCTAATATATCTTGAGAAAATTTACTTTTCTTTAAAGAAAAACAAGCCTGTCACTCTTGTCCTTTGGCTTATGGGGTACACATGCTCCCATAGGAACAGGCAGTTTGTTCAAATTAAACCTGAAAACCACAGTTGATTAATTTTAAATTTACTGTCTTATTTTGGTTTCTGCCATAGCATCCAATGGCTTCAATTAGAATTTTAAATCCATGGCATCTCTCAAGGGACAGGGTAAAAGTTTGGAGTTTTCTTAGACAAAGAAAGACAAGTGTTAGGGAAGTCTTTTTTTTTTTAATTTTTATTTTATTCATATGTGCATACAATGCTTGGGTCATTTCTCCCCCCTCCCCCCACCCCCTCGATACCTGGCTGAAACTATTTTGCCCTTATTTCTAGTTTTGTTGAAGAGAGAGTATAAGCAATAACAGGAAGGAACAAGGGTTTTTGCTGGTTGAGATAAGGATAGCTATACAGGGAGTTGACTCACATTAATTTCCTGTGCGTGGGTGTTACCTTCTAGGTTAATTCATCTTGATCTAACCTTTTCTCTAGTTCCTGGTCCCCTTCTCCTATTGGCCTCAGTTGCTTTTAAGGTATCTGCTTTAGTTTCTCTGCATTGAGGGCAACAAATGCTAGCTAGTTTTTTAGGTGTCTTACCTATCCTCACCCCTCCCTTGTGTGCTCTCGCTTTTATCATGTGCTCAAAGTCCAATCCCCTTGTTTGCCCTTGATCTAATGTCCTTGACTAGAAGGAGTTTGTCCCACTGAGGATGAGAAACCAAAAGGATCACAATTGGTTCTTTCACACGTTCCCACCAGTGAAGGCATTTTAAAATGCAAAGAGCAAGTGCAGGATGTAGCTCAGTGGTAGAGCACTTGTGGATCATGCATAAGGCCTTGGGTTCAACCAACCAAAACCAACCAAAAGAACCCCAAAGACCAGAAACCCTGCCAAATCCATGTGATGTATAACAGCCATTCATTTAACAATATTAATGAGCACCCACTCTGTGCCTGGTACTGAGGGTCAGATGATGAAGAAGCTGTCGTCAACTCTCAGACTAGACATTTGTTCAATAGCAGATGTGAAAATTCCAGGAAAGAAAAGTTGAGAATATGAAGGATCCTGAGTTGGTCTGGAGAAATAAAATTAATTTGGGGGATAGATGTTTGAAGAAGGGACTGGCTTTGTGGTGTGGTGTGGTCCTGCATATGCAGTCAACATACCTCCATAGTCAGTCCCAGCTTGGCCTCTGTGATGGTGACTCTGAGGACCTTGGTCTGGAGGTCATTTTTAGTAGGTGTGGAGGAAGATTGTCTGCACGGTCCTTCTCCTTTGAAAAGGGCAGTGAATGAGTTTTATTTTAGGTCTTGGCCCTGAATTGAGTACACAGCAGAAACTTGTGAACACTTCTCAAATTCACATTTGCCCAGGAGACTAAATGGTCATGGTTCAAGTTATCCTGGTCTCTGGAGAAAATCAGCACTGTTTTATAACTAGCCTTTTCTCATAAGTAATTTTTTAAAAGGCAAAACAAAGAAATTAATTTTTTGCTGTTGTTGGGGCAAAAAAAAAAAAAAGGCTCTGTTTAAAGAACAGAATGTTGTAACATAAACTGACAAAAGCCAGGGAACCTACAGTTTAGCGGGAGCTAAATGTCACATTATCAGCTCCAAACTTGGACTTGCCCAAAAGTACTAGGGTAATGTTGGAAAGATGGAGACATCTGAGGATGTTTTAAGTGTAATATCTAATTACTTAGCTTGACATTAGCCTGAGGACTACTGGCCTTTCCTTACCAGAGGCTGTTTATGGAGGAATGTAGGTAGATGCTTCCTTTGTCTCTGAAACAAAGATAATAACTCTACATGAAAATGCCAGCTAGTCCATCTTCCTGGAGACGAAGGTTGTATTCAATAGGGTTACTGTTAAAGCGCACTTAGTGGTTGTATAGTACTGGTGTTTGGAAGGGAGCAAAGATGACTACTGCACAACACAGCCCTGTTCTTAGATTCATAAAATCATGGGTGGGGCAGAAAGTCTCCGGATTTCAGTCAGGTTGTCAGATGGCTGTGGAGGGAGGCTGTGGATTGAATCCACTCTCACTGACAAGAAAATCCTTCCACATTTTAATGCTCCCACTGCGCCTGTGGCCTGGAGGGCTACAGACCTACTGAATCCCAGTCTGCATTTCACAGTCTTCCCAGGTGACTGTCCTGCCTGAGAAGGCGCCCAGGGGAGTCTAACAGACCGCACTTCTCTGTTACAGGCTCCTTCTCCCTCTCCTCCTTCTCCCCCTCCTGCTCCTCCCTCCTTTGCCTCTCTCTTCTGTCTGTCCTACCTTCCCTAAATACCCTGCCTCTGGAAGGATCCTCCTTTATCTGATGCGCACCTTTCCCACCACTCATTTTTTTCTATCTGTGCTTTCTTGGTTTTTATCAAATCTGGTTTTTTCCATTTATTAAGTTATTTTTTATGCTATTGCTCATTTGCCCTTGCCTTTTTTGACCCATATCTGGTCCAGACCCACCCTGAGAATTCATTGTCATGAATTGACTCCATGTGCCTGTGACATTTATTGATGTAAACATTTGCACACACCTGTTGCCATTTTTCTGCCTTCAAAACTTTGCACCTATAAGCTGGACAAGGAGAGTCAAGTTTGTAATTCTAGCTACTTGGGACTCTGAGATCAGGAGGATTGCAATTGGCCACTAGGCTGGGCAAAAAAGTTTGTGAGACCCCATTTCAGCCTGTCATCCCAGCTATGCAGGAAGCTGAGGTTGGGAGGATCACAGTTTGAGGACAGCTGGGGCAAAAAAAGTTCACAAGACTCCATCTCAATGGAAAAAGCTGGGTATGGTGGTGTGTGCTTGTCATCTCAGCTACAGTGGGGAGTATGACAGAGGAGGATTGTGGTCCAGGCAAAAAGAAAGACCATATCTCAAAAATACCAGAGCAAACAGGACTGGAAGCATGACTCAAGCTGTAGACTGCCTGCCTTGCAAGGATTAGACCCTCAAATCCAACCCCAGAGCCACCCCCCAAAAAACTGTACCTATCCATAGACACGTGGGTGAATGACAGAGTTCACCACCTAACAAGTAGACGAATGCATGTGGTGGTGTTGAGGATGACATGAGGAATGTTGGTGTCCCCAGTCTACTCATCCAATGCTCTTCCTCAGAAGTTCTCCCTCTGCCCCAGGCCTTCTGCTCTTCCATGTGGGTCTCTTTCCAATGTGTGGCAATGATGAAAAGTCTCCCATTGCTAAGTGCAAGAATGCCTGCAGTTATTTGACCATCACGCAAAGTCAAATGTAGCTGGTGTCAGAAGGCAGGAAGAAATTCTTGGGGAAGTCCATGTGATGAAGAATTAGGTCCTGGCTCAGCGTAAATCCTGGCTCATTCACTGTGCAACCCAGGGCTTGGTGGCTGGGGGTGGGGGGCGGGGAATAGGAACAATGGTTGCTAAGTCCTGGAAATATGGTGAGAAGTCAAGGAAATAGTTTACCCAAAGTGTTTAGCAAGTGCTATACAAAATGTGAAGTGCTGTCATTAACTTTTCAGTTAACTAACCTGCCAGTTTTCCTGTCTCTCCCCTCTGTGCCCCTCCTCCAGTATGAGCCGCATTGCCTACACTCTGGGAGCCTTGCTTCTCCTCCTGGGGGCCCTGCTGCCAGCTGCTGAAGGGAAAAAGAAGGGGTCCCAAGGTGCCATCCCACCACCAGACAAGGCCCAGCACAATGACTCGGAGCAGACTCAGTCACCCCAGCAGCCCGGCTCCAGGAACCGGGGACGGGGTCAGGGACGAGGCACTGCCATCCCTGGGGAGGAGGTGCTTGAGTCCAGCCAAGAGGCCCTGCATGTGACTGAGCGCAAGTACCTGAAGCGAGACTGGTGCAAAACCCAGCCGCTGAAGCAGACCATCCACGAGGATGGCTGCAGCAGCCGCACCATCATCAACCGCTTCTGCTATGGGCAGTGCAACTCCTTCTACATCCCCAGGCACATCCGCAAGGAGGAAGGCTCCTTTCAGTCCTGCTCCTTCTGCAAGCCCAAGAAATTCACCACCATGATGGTCACACTCAACTGCCCTGAACTGCAGCCACCCACCAAGAAGAAGAGGGTCACACGTGTGAAGCAGTGTCGTTGCATCTCCATTGATTTGGACTAAGCCAAGCACACACATACACCTGTCCTAGGGATGTGGCCCCAAGCAGACCCAGAGGCAGACTCAATAATCTGATTCTTAATTGGCTTAAAACCAGAGGCTGGAAGCACCAGCAGCTGCCTTCTGGCTAGAGCCCTCTTGTGTGTAATTTGTGTGCATGTGTGTGCATGGGTGCCTGTGGGTGTTTTCAGACATCAGAGGAAACAGTCCCTGACAGAGCCACTTCCTACTATTATCTGCTTTAAACAGGGATGGTCTGAAATGTCCACACCACCCCAACTCACATCCACAGAGGCAGGGCTGTGCTGGGTTCTGGGTTGCTCTTTCATGTGCCTTCCTGGGGACCAGAATGAATGTTAGCAACGAAGAGGCAACTCTGAGGGCCAGAGACCTGCTTTGGTGTCTCATTAGACTTTGAAACCTGAACCTGTGCTAGCTTCCCTTCTCCCTCCCACAGTTCTTCCCCTCTTAGGTTCTCAGAGACTATTTCAGTCTTACCCCATGTCAGTCAAAATTACTCAAGTGATTCACTTCACCATGGATGTAAATGTTTTCCATCTTGTGAAGATCCTCCAAATTCTGGGGAGGCTGGTGTGACCAAAGACAAGCAGGACAAGGTGACAAAGAGAGTGCAGAGGGTGAGGACCAGTCAGGTGCAGCAGTGAGACCCAGGCTTTAGTGAAAATTCGGTTCTGGTACTTAAGAGAACCCAGGTGAACAGATGAGAAATAAGACTACCGAAAGTTCATTAATCTTGGTGTCACTCTGATCTACTGAGACTAGCTGAAACCCAACACCCAACTTAAAATTTCAGTATGGTCCACTTGTATTTGCAGAACCATGTGAGTGAGCTAAACCAGGACAGCCCCTGACCCTGTGCCACTCAGGAGGCCAGCTGAGGTGGCATAGAACCTTCTACCCAGGGACAGGAAGAAAACCAAACCTTGCAAGCTGAGGTCCTTACATAGATTTTTTTTCTTGGTTATCATTGCTTTTCCCCAGTTTGTTTTTCTGCCATAATGCTTCTGAAGGCCACAATCCTGTATTACAAAATTTTTGCCTACATGGGGAATATGCCTGCTAGTAAAGAACAGACTATGACAAGAGAGCTTTCCTGCTCCATTCAGCAGAAAAGTCCATTTTCTATCTCTGTTTTAGCCATTGTTAGGAGACTGTCAGGAAGAAGAGTGAGTAGGGAAATTGAGGGGCAGACTCTGGTGAGGTAGCAGTTAGCTCTCCCTACTGGAGATGCCAGGGGTATGACCTCCATTTCTTCCTTTGCTCCCTAAGGACCTACAGCGAAATCCGGTTAAGAAGCAGAGCTCTGGGGATGTTAGCTGTTCATCTGCTACCAGTGGGGTCCTTGTGACCCTCCTGTATGTACAGGAGGTGCTGTCTTCTGCTTGATTGACTTTCAGTGCTCACAAGCCCTACTTAGCGCTTATATAACGGCCATGGTGCAGGGTGGATGGGATTTGGCTAAGTGGTTCTCTGTAAGGCTGAGGTTCAACCTGCAATGCCCTAGTGCTCTTGTCAGCCTCACAGCCAAATCAGGTGTCATTTGGAAAACAAGCATTGCAGATTTGCATTCAGTTGCCCATCCAGGCTCCAGCATTTAAAGAACTGTTGCAATTAAAGAAGCTGCTTTAATTTTGGTTTTGTTTTGGTCTAGTGCTCTCCCATATAACAACTAAACAGGAACCATGCCATAAGACAGAAGTTGTCTTGAACACCCAAAATGTTGGGTCTAATTTTGAAACTTTTTTCCACTACTGATGATTCTATTCTAGGTGAATTTGTGCAAACGCTTAGTCTGTACCTTTTGTATACACTGTATGCCCTTGCCTTAACTCTGTACCATTCACATTCTCCAACAAGAAAGAACAAGATGGATTTAATTAAGCACACAAATGCAAAGGCAGACTTTTGAGGGTGAAGGAGAGGAAAGGGGGAAGAAGCTGAAAATGTAAAACCACACCAGAGAAGAAAAATGATGTTCAGAACCAACAATACTGAATTTCTCTTGTTGTAATTCTGTCACAAGATGCAATTTTGTTCAAAAGGGATGACTTAAGTTGCTACAGTAGCCTCGTACCACACACTCTTGCATGTAAGTCAGATTTGGCTTAAGTAAAGAGAATTTCCTCCAAATTAACTTCTCTGGAACAATTAGCCGCATAAATACCCTAAAAGCACAACACTTGCCAAAGAGGGAAATGTCAGCTTTTCTCACTGTGCCTAAATTAAGACTAGCACAGTATGGTAGTCACCCAACACTTACTGAAAATGCCAGTATCTGTTACGTATTTTATTGGAGTCACCAATGATGTAATGATATATATTTTTTCATTATTGCAGTCAAATTTTTAATGACAAGATAGCTGTGATCTTGACTTATCTATTAAAATAATGCCAAACATGAAATTTGAATCTTATGATGTACATCTTATGTTTGTCATTAAAAGAGAAACACACCTCCTGTAAGTCTATAAGTTGTTATTATAGGTCTTCAAAATTAAAAGTCACAGGTGAAAAGTCTGGAGAAGGGATAGTTTCCACTGTGTGGAATGTGAATAAACAAAAGTTATTTAATGTAATTATTAACTCAAGTCCTTTGGTCACTGTGACTTCAAGCCTTTCTGTGGCTGCCTCTGAGTAGCAGAGACAAAGATGGCACACCGTATGTCCTAGGAGACTTCAATCAGGCAGAAGGAAATACAGTCTTGACCCATGAAGATGAAGTACAGTCAAGCCTGAACTTTTTTTTTTTAATTAAATGTTCCTGAAAGGTCAACATTTCTGAAGCAAAATTAAGAAAGACGTTAAAGGTTGTTTTGTTATGATATGGGTATACAAGAGAGGAGCAGATGGAGATGGACAGATCGCAGTGGGGCCCGTTCTAGGAGGACGTCTAAGGTGAGAAGTGCACACATGGAACATTTCCAATGACCAGTTGATGCTGAAGATGTTCTATGGACTTGTCATCTTTCAAGATATTTAATATCATCTGCATTATGTATTGTGTCTGCTTTAATCATTTTAAAACAAGACAGGATTATATAGACAATGATCAAAGTACCCTGTGTATGAAGATGTGAGGAATTCAATAGTCTCATAAAAGCTAATGTGGCTTAATGTTGTTTGGGTCTGTAACTAGAATTTTATTTTCACCCCAGTAATAGTCTACATAACCTTTGCCAAAGAGCAACCAATAAATTAAACCTCTTCTTTTTTCTGCATGTTTGTGTTTTAACTTGCAGTGTTCCTAGGGTTGGGGTGGGCAGGGTTCACTGTCACAGGAAGGGAAGTAGGAATGAGACACTAAGAGCTCTTGTAATTTTAAGAGGAACATGTTAGATCCTCTTAGATTCTGTGGGAGTTAGAGACAAGGGAAGGCTGGGCTGCAACTGAAGAACAGCCTCCTCCCCCCAGCATAACTGCAAGTCCCCCTCCCCCCAGCACAACTACAGCCCTCCCCCTCCCCCCAGCACAACTACAGCCCTCCCCCTCCCCCCAGCACAACTACAGCCCTCCCCCTCCCCCCAGCACTAGTCTCCCTCCCCCAGGATAACTACAGTCCCCCTCCTCCTCCCCCCCAGCATAACTACAGTCTGCCTCCCCCCTCCTCCAGCAAAACTACAGTGCCCCTCCCCCCAAGCACAACTACAGTCCCCCTCCTCCCTCCCTCCCAGTATAACTACAGTTCTCCTCCCCCTCCCCCCAGCATAATTACAGTCCCCCTCTCCCCCCCACAGCATAAGTACAAAGGAGAGCTAAGAGGGTCAGGATGGGGCCTGCAGGTAGTAGAAGGATTGTCACAAAGAAATGCTCATAGCTTTGTTTCAGGATGTTCCACAGAAAAACAGGAGAAAGATTTGGGGTTCGGCAGAAGGAAGAGCTTTCTAATAATGAGAGCGAGTCAGCTGCCGTTGAATTGGCAAAGTCCATTTTCTTGGAATTTAAGTTATGCTAGACATGACTTTATAGGGATGTAAGGTAAATGGAATTATTTCCTTGGGTATGCAGTTGAACTAGTGGGTTTCTAAGATGCCTTTTCACTTGGACATACCGGTCCTATGACAACAACAATAATAATTCTAGCAACTGTGTTTGAAGTGCTAACATAATACATGGTGCTAAGGGTTTAATTTGAATTCTCACTAATTCTCCAGTTAGATCAATGAGGTAGGCACTGTTATTATAACCACTAGGAAGCAGTGAATTCATATGGTTTTATTGCAGCCCCTGGGTCCTTAAATACTATACAAAATTGTAGGATTCTCAGTGCTCATTGGTTTATTCTTTTAGGGCAGAAAGCAGAATTCTACAGACAAATTCAACTATTGATCATTTACATCTAATGATGAGGCTGTCCTGAAGTTGTACTTGACAACATCAGGACCCCATGCTCAAAAGCCTTCAATCAAAGCTTCCTTGCCACCGCCCTTCTTGTGGACTTGGAGGGGAAAGTAGAAGTGAGTACCACGGAGACAGTGGCCTCAGGAAAGCCACATCAAGGAGGTAACACCTGAATAAGGCTTGAAAGATGAGTGTAAGGACATCACAGGCTCAAAACCAAACAAACAGATGAAACCCCTAATACAACAAGGCATGCTGGAGCATATCAGCAAAATGCTAAGTAAGGATCTTTGAAAATTCTTTCTTCTGTAAAACTGATGAAATCTGGCAAAAATAGATTTCACTTCCTTTTTGAGCTCTAGAAGTTGACTGAAGACTTGAAGCAATTGGGGGAAGATTTATTCAAGGAAAGACTGGATGTCTGCATGAACAGTGGGCACCATGACATTGTAACGTACCCTGTTCTTATCTCCCCTCCCCAGCTCCACTGTGGACTTAACCAACAGCCTGCAAATACAGTGAAAACCAGCAGTCTGTGGTCAATGGTGGGGGTAGAATGGGAGGGAGTTCTTTAAAAGACCTGATCCCAGAGAAATTAACACTTGTCCTGTTTGACAGGCCCCAAAGGCCCCAGTTACAACGATCTCTTTATTGATCTAACTAAAAGTTTCCCACTGTGAAAAGAAAATT